ACCACTTTTACGATCAAACTGGTTGATTATCTTCTCTGTTTGTTTGCTCCCCCCGCCTTCTTCTATTTTTTTTCCCGCGCGTAACCTTGAGTGAAGAAGAGGGGGGTGTGCGTGGGTCGATAAGTAATTTTGGACCACGCCTTCCCCCCCCCTCCCCAAATGAAACATTTTTATAACCACCCCAGAGATCAACATATGTATCAATGGAACAAATTGAAGGTGGCTTACGCGTGAAACATTTAGCGGCCACCGTCCGATTTCCAGGTTGTCCATTTGGTGAACTCAGGAGAGCTCTCCACACGGCTCCAAACGCCCCTCGTCCAATGACGTCTTGTAGCAGGACACGGTTCACCGCAACCTCCCACTCATCTACCTCTGCATTCAATGGCTCCATCTGAATTGCCTCCTCTTGGTCAGGACTAAATGTAGAAAATCAACATTGCTTACTTTAAGGTTCAAAACAAAGAAAAGTGATAAAAAGAAAAGAGAAATCAGAGAGTAAAAAAATTCGTTTGCCAGGATAACTTGATTGGCGAGATAATCTCTCTTGCCGATAGTGAGAGAACAATGTTTTCACAATACCAAAAACATAAATTATTACAAAACATATTAGTAATTGTTGTTATTTAAGTACACTATGTCAATCGGATGTTTGTTAAAATCAAAAAAGAAACAGTTGGTTTTAAAATCAGAAATTTTACTTATTTAATTAAATTTTTTTTTGCATTTCGATTTTTATTTCAAAGTACTAAATCTATGGATTAATCTAACTGAAAATATATGGAAGGTACTAAAGAGATAAAGAAATTAAACAAAGGAACTAATGAAGCTGATTCTAAAAACACATAATGAATGTTAATAATGCATCACAAACACGATAAGCACGATAAAAGTAATTACTGCGATATGATTTTTGTTATCGTCATCATGCAATGGAGGATTTTTTTCCCGATGAATTTGATGAATGAAAGGTAAAGTAGTTGACTTACAGAGCCATAGCTGCAATTCCAAATAATGAATTAAA